TGTCCGAACGACGATAGCTGGAGAGCCGGGACCTGCATAATTTAGTAGAGTAACGTCTGGACTATCTACGCATGCAAAAAGATTACTAACATTGTATCTTAGTTTTCCGAGAATGGAGCTGGTTTTCCAAAGATCCTCTTGTAAAACCGACTTTAAATTTATTTTTTGAGAGTGTTTTTGCATGGCTATATGCAAAAAAGTGTTGGCTAGCGATCTGCGAAAACCAGAGATCGATATCTCCTTCTATGGGGGAGTTATTCAAAATTTAGTCAGGGGCATTGCTTTTTGAAAACGATAATAGTTATGAAATTTCGACAACAATTAGATGCAATTCAGCAAAAATTAGACGAGCAACAGGTAGTTTTAGAACAATTGTCGTTAAGAGTTGAAGATCACCAGAAATATAACAGACCGTCATGTTTACGATTTGTCGGTTTTACTTGAGACAGAAATGAACAGCGAAACGCTTTTATATGTAATACATTAGGTGTTGAGACTAATGAAACTAATATTCAAAATCCGCATCGAGTAAGATAATATTAAGCTGGTAAAACAAGAGTAAATTATAGCTCGATTTTATTCACACCTAATTCGTTCGAAAATGTTGCATTCATTACATTTGATAAAAAATAAGAACTTAAAAAATCTTAGTTTATGAAGAAATAACTAATGATGTCTATTTCTCTCTTTCTCTCTCTCTCTCGTACTACAAAAAAAATTTATTTTACTCTCTGTTTAGTTATTCAGTCATATTTGTTTTAGCTTTACATCGTGTTAATCGTCTCTATTGTCTTGATAATGAAAATTACAATTTTCGAAACGTCGACTTTATTTTTATAAAAAGGTTTATTTTATTTAAAAAAACAAAAATTTTTAATTTTAATTTTTGTTAAATAAAGACGAATCTAAAAATAGCTGCCGTTACTATCTTATCAATTCTAAAACTTCTACAGCAGCCAAATCGGTTGTTTTATCACAGTTTCCTTATTTTAGCCGATTTTAATCATAAGAAGCTAAATAAAACATCACTAAGCAAGTACTGGAATTTATATTTACAGAGATCTTTTTTACGCATTTCTTTTGTGTTTTGTATTTTGGGATAGATGAGCTAAAACTTTCCAATTTTTTCCACTAAATCGATCACTGTTTAAATACACCGATAGGTATCGGGCTAATTCTTTCGCTATTTTACTCAGGCTTTGTGCCTCTATATTTTCGCGTACAGTAGTCAAGGGTATTATTTGGGTTTGAGACGAAAATCCTAAAAGTGCCCCGAAAATTTTGGACTTCTGAAAAACCATGTTCCACATGTTTTTTTGAAAAACTAGCTTAATGTTCTAGGGCTAACCTTTTATGCTCTACGCGCCCTCGCTACTGAATTCTTCGCGGCTGCGAGGTCCGTATAAAGTTGGCTGACCTGCATGCAAGTACCCTTTTCTACCTTTACAACTTATGGTTGAAATTTATTTCGAAAACAAAAAATATCATATAGCGCTAAATTATTAATAAAGAGCATAGAAACAAGCAATATTAATATAAAATATCATACATTTCTCTTTTTTAAAAGTCATATGTCAGACAAAGTCAGTTTTGTGTGATATAATGGATGGCGACGAAAATCACTATTTTTACGAGTGTAAATAATAGAAGATAATATTAAATCGCACTATCTTTCTTATTATAATATGAATAATGCTGAAGAAGGACAAAAGCAAGATACAGCACGGACCAATATATAATAATTTTGTTAGTGCCCAGTCTTAAAAACCGGACAATTCCATGGTTTTACGGTAAATACTGGATTTAGATAAGAGGCTACGGCAAGTAAAGTTTTGACTATATTTGGTGTAGCTTTGAATATAGTTTGATACGTAAAACAAACAATATCATTCGCGGTTGCATTAACAGGTATTTGTTCCGCACTGGGAACCCATACGCCGTTCACCTTGGCGCCAAGTAAAACAGGATGAGCTAAATAAATTGCAAGTATGCATGGAGCAGCATCAACGAATGTTCTAGGTGGGTCATGGGGATACCAGTTTTTCGGGATCTGTCCACCTCCAGCCATACCTTTCCGTTGACCATTTTCATAAAAATAACCCACCCACACACGTATAATATCTTCAGTGGCTTTACCATCGGTACCATTAGGGAACGTTAGAGCGAACAGGCAAGGAGTAAAATAATGAAAAACAAATTGTATGGGTCCGAATACACACTTTGAATTGTTTGCTACACATTCATCATATCGTTGTTTAGCAGCTATTTGAAATGTTGGTATACCAAAAAGACCCCCATTTAATTGAGCAGCATTATACGTCGTTGTCCATACTGTATCATTAAAATCAAAATTGTCACATCCATTTATTGTCGGACAATTGTTACAGTCACAACTTTTATATGATGCATCACCTTCTAAAACATTATGTTTGCTTGTACCAGCCCCCACCGTTCCCGAAGCATTGCCAATTGAAAACGTCAGTGCATCTCCAGCTATTACAGCAAGTGCAGCCAACCCAGCGGCAACATCTGGTCCAAGGCCAATGGCGGAAGAAGCGCTGATAACTTGTTCGGGTGTGGAAATTCCATTTCGATTTATGTAACCATTATTTGCTAATGCATTCAAACCAGGACAAGGGCCACGTTTGTCATTGGGACCAGGTGCCTTATATGCATGGCCACCACTGGTAGACAACGGTTTTTGTGACAGACGTCTAGTTCTCGATAAAGAGTCAAGGTGCGGATGAGATAAGATTCGACTAACCAGGCAAAAGATGAATAGTAAGTTTACCGTGTTGATCATTACATACTATATAATAAACCAATAAATGAAAATGTTCGTTTCGTGATGAGTGCATTTATACAAATTAAATTTATGTTGAAAGTATAAGAAAATGCGAAGAAGCCTTTTGTTATACCATGATCAATGACTATCACATGACAAATAACAGATACAACCTCCATTCGGTTAAACTAACGTCAGCGAACAATTCTCATTCAATAAGAGTAATGATAGAAAACAAATAAAAGGCAATATAATACATTCAAAGAAAGGTATTTCACGTCATCAAAAAGAATAATCACAAAAACAGGTGAAATAACCAAATTTATTCGACCATATTGAAACACGGACGTTGACATATTCGTAACGACATTTCCTAAACATTAAATCATCATTTAACTCTTGAAAAATTATTTTCAACTATTGCGCAGAGGTTACCCGCCGGAGTGGTTACCCCCTAATAATGTGTTCGTACATACTATCAGCACGCCATTGTACATACGCTTTTACACATGTACAAAACATGATGTTTTTCTGTTTCGATGGTTGACGACTCACCTATTCAAAAGGTTAGGTAAGGTACTCTTTGTTCGAAAAAGAGTTAACATGTTACAAAAATATAGATTTTCATTTGCATTGCATTTTATGTATTTAACGTTACTTTCGCACATTTTGCACCAACGTGCACAGTTCGTTTGCAACCCACTCCTGTTAATACGGATACACATAAGATAAATCAAAGTGATGGTCGCATATACTTTATGGAAGAATAGAGTAGTTAAAAGATTAGCGGAAGAGGTTCTGATAGATCAGAAGCAACCCTAGTAGAATCTGCGATTTATTGCGCGTCGCGAAGCCATGATAATCTTGCCACAATCTTGCCGCCCAATACCCAATTTGAATCGCGGACGCACATATTCGTGAATTTCTCGCGTTCCGCGCAAAATTCGCGGTTGTATCCGTAAACAGTTTGCTGCAAAACCGCGATTGAGCTCGCGACAAGATGGTGACTAAATTTGCTTGTTTCACCGCATGATCGCTATTGAAATCGACTGTTTCGCCTCAGGATCGTGTTCAAACTGCTTATATCGCGGCAAGATCTCGGCTTCACAACCATTCAGAATGATGTATCTGTAATTGTGAGAACTGTTTGAAGCTTTAAAAGGTTCTCGAAATCTACTGATTTCACCATGTTTTACCCGGTTTTCTCTTCGGGACATAATGCAGTCAAGGTGAATCATTCACCTCAGACTCTCTTTGAGGTTGAGCTTAAAATAAGTATAATAAGAAATAGAAATATTTTGATTGTTATTTCTAAAACAGCTTCAGTCTTAGACTTCTCTAAGTTCCCTCATGTATTTCTCAATTACAATTCGACATATAACTGGCATTTGAACCGAACTGATCGTCGCTACATCCTGAGAGCCACTAACAACAAAGCGACCTTACACCGAGGATACCCACAACTGTTATAAAAACAGCCACCTTTGATGTATTTCTCACTTCTGTGCATTTTTATTTGAGATATTTGCACAGTAAACATCGATTGAGAGAAAGAACATAGAAAAAGCCCGTAGATGTAGTGCATTTTCTGAGAAAGAAGACTTTTTTAATCTATACAAAACACCTGAAGAAACAAAATTTATATTCAGGAATTTATGTTCTTTTAGATAGGTATATAGACTATATGCGTTTATATGAAGCATGTTTTTCTTCGTTAGAAATTTACTTAGGACAAAATACACGTGGGATACATAAAACCGCCAATTAACCGCGATTAACCGTCCGGTTAATTGCAATTAACCGCCAAACAGTCGATTAATCGCGGTTAACCACTTAGTTGTCCGATTATTTCTGATTAACCGCCATTAATTGACGGTTTGTTTTTTGCTGAGCAAATAATACCGGTTCAAGTCCAGGACTACGCTACCTATTTATTTTCTCTTTTTGGCGAAATGCACCACGCACAGTCACTTTTTTTTAATTTTTCTTTTATTACTTCTATGAAAACACTTCCAGAAAAACTCCATGGAAAAACTAAAGTGTCAAGGCTGTACTTATTGCTAGTTTTGTTCGTTGTCGTGATATTGTTTGCAGCTGCCATGGTTTGTCGAATAATTTTTCCTTTTATATTACGACGCTTTTGTAAAAAAAACGTCTCTCAATGCTGGCCATGGTTCATTCATTGTATTTCTGTCCATTTCAAACCTGGATCAAACACTTTGTGGAAGAGCAAAAAAGCATATATAAATGATGAAGGTCATTGAGTAGCGATATAAGCATTTGAACGATGATGACCCTTTACATATAAATAGAAAAGATGAACATTCAAAGTTAAATGGAATATACTTTTCTCCTAGATCTTTGAAAAATCAGCTCGAATTTCTAGAAACCGATACAGCAATCTATCGTTCTTTTTGTATAGATGGATAGTCAAAAGTATCCTCTACAAAATAAGATGTAAGCAAACGTTTTCCTATTTTTAAGTCAAATCAAGAAATTCATAACCTAATCAGGATCCATCCAAATTATATCAGAATATCACTATTTTACCTTCTTCAAATGATTTTTTACTTGAGAATAGTTAAACGCATTCTTGTACTTCGAAAGAAAATCTTTTCAAAAACCAAAGTATTTTCCGTTGATTTCTAAAGCGTTTATTGAACTGCATAGTGTTGAGCAGGTAAATAGAGTATATCTTGATACTCTGATATAATTATATCTCAAAAACGATAAATGACAAAGACGTGCGATCTTCAGAAACCGAAAGACCACAGTTTAAGCTATATTTTCGCCAAAACGATATATATAATTATATCAGAATATCAAGATGTACTCTATTTACCTGCTCAACACTATGCAGTTCAATAAACGTTTTAGGAATCAACAGAAAATACTTTGGTTTTTGAAAAGATTTTCTAAGAATCTTCCGAAGTACAAGAATGCGTTTTACTATTCTCAAGTAAAACATCATTTGGATTGATATTCTGATATAATTTAAATGAATCTTGAGTAGGTTATGAATTTCTTGATTTGACTTAAAAATAGGAAGATATAGGATACTTCAGCTAATAATATGTAAAAACAAAAGAAATAAAACATACTTGTGTTTTTTCATCATCATAAAGTGAGACAATTAATGAACAATTTGTATCCTAAATCATTTGCCAAAAATCCGTTATAGTATTTATTAACGGATGTTGGATAACTATATTCGTCTGGACGATAACAACTATAAAGGACAAAACCGTCATGATTAGATACTAAATTCAGTCTACATTGCATCAATTGAAAATCAGTTTCTTAATCTAGTGTAGACCAGATTTAGACAAACAAATTTAAAATCACATATTAAATTGACTTACATGAAGAAACGTAGCATTGATATATTCAGCACGATCACGATGTATTTTTCCGTACGTCCAACACCGGTGCTAAAAAAAAAGAAAATAATTATTACAATAAGGATTAACTTGTCACTTTAAATAATTGAAAACATGCCCGCAATGACCAACGATCGGCGTATCATTCCGATTGACTTGCGATGATTTTCGAATAAAAGACAATGCAGGGAGAACAAAAACAGTTTCACTATACAATTTGTATAGCGAAAGTGGTAAACTAAACATTCGTAAGTTACATGCTAAAATTAAAATAATACTCTTATTCTAATTGACAAGATAACAGAAGATAAGGAAAATATATAATAAAAATCAACTTTGCATGAAGATTTTCAACTTTAAACAGACCTTAAGTTTACTAGAATTCGATAAGGAGTCTTATTTATAATGTAATAATGTAACCTATAATAAATATATACGATAGATTAGTATCATTCACAACGATCTAGCTGTTAACAAGAGTACTTATAGAAAAAAATGAATTGAAAGATGAGACGACAGAAAATATTTTCTTTACCTTTCGATTTGCTTTATATCAAATGGCAAATATTCTTTTGACAAAGTAAGCTAATGTTATTGTTGTTAAAGTGTAACTTGAATAGTTTCATAAATTTCAGTTCCTTCTGCTGACCAATACATATCACATTTAACCTGAAAACAGATATGAGTCATACAAAATGATAAAATTTTTAAACATACTCATCCACGTTCTTTAATGTTGGTTATCATGATCATCGGTAATAGCGTATAACAATGAATGAAAAATATCAGATAGAGAGAGTATATATTGTCCTTACATGGTTAATTGGCGGTTTCTTGACAAAAACGTCGACATGGGATGCGTAAACGAGAAATTAAAAACATCGAACGATACATATCTGCTTCTTCTATTTTATTTAACTCAGAAAGAAATGTTTTTTAGACACGCGTGTGCTCCTGCTATGTAAACTACCTTACCACACTTTTATAAGCTTTTTCTTCAAGCGAAGAAACTTCATATGACCGCATATAAATGTTTTATCTAAACCGCGAACACGATACGATTTGATCTGAATCGCGAACTCGACACGATTTAAGCTAGAACGCAACACGATTTGATATGAATCGCGAGCGCGATACAATATGATGTAAATCGCGAATATGACGCGATTTGTTTTTGATTGCGATCGCAACATAATCTGAACCGTACACACGACGTGACTTGGAGCACGAACGCGACGTGGGAAAATTTTCGCTGCGCGATTGCCAAATTTCGCAGTCGTGGCATGAACGCGGCAAGAATAGAGTACGAATGTAATTTTGGAAATCCCGACTTACTGAAAAGAAACCATTTATAAACCAGCATTTGTCCAAAAATGTTCTCTCATAGTCATTATATACGTTTCTATATTGTAACTTACCCTAGTGAAAGTACTCATACGATGAGTACGACTTTACTCATAATTTGTCCATGAGTACTCATATTGGTACTACCAGCGATTTCTGAGTATTGTTACTCAGTGAGTACTCAGTTACTCATGTAAGTACTCAGAAAATATTCATTCACCGTTTTATTTTGCTAAACTGAAACTGTATAAAGAATGTAGAATTTAGTGAAGGAACACAGAATATTCATATTATTATTTTCTCACTGGTCTCTCTGTATATAGTCAGAGATAGACTTGTAGTCCTACTCTGGCTACCTGAGATCACTCCTCTATATGAAAATATCAGATGAACAATACTCATGAGTATTTTGCCGAAAGTTGTATGAGTACTCAATAATACCCAAGCATGAGTACTCAAAGTCGTACCCACAGTACTCGTTACTCACGTATGAGTACTCATGTGAGTACTCAGTAAGTAAAAAAATGTATGAGTACGTATGAGTACTCGTCCGGTTTTTCTAGCAGAGTACTTTTTGAGTACTCACACTTGAGTACATTCACTAGGGTAAATTTCATATATTTTGGTGTTTAATGTATAAAGATAAATCAATTAATGTATAAAAGATGAATCATTATCTAAATATGATCATTGTGTAATTCGTTTTTCTCTAGTAGATCTACTCAAATGATCAGTTAATTGTTATGCCACTGAAGTCTATAACATAAACAAATAAGAAATATTGCTGCAGAGTAATTTTTAAGCTTAAAAAACACGTTTGAAAATCTATATTTTTGTAACATGTTAACTCTTTTTCGAACAAAGAGTACCTTACCTAATCTTTTGAATAGGTGAGTCGTCAACCATCGAAACAGAAAAACATCACGTTTTGTACATGTGTAAAAGCAGTATGTATGTACAATGGAGTGCTGATAGTATGTACGAACACATGATCAGTTAGATAGAAAACGTCGTAATAAGAGTAATTTCAAATTACGTATAAAGAATTTCAGATCGTTACATATGCATGATGGATGGATTCGGTTAATCAGAAAAATGGTACAGTAGTGGTTATTTATTTTTATTTTTGTTATTGAGCAAGCGGTATTTTTATTTTATTAGTGGCTATTTGGTTATAAATAATTTTCATAGGAAAATAGCCATCATTTTTATTCTCTTTCATAATACAATTCTTAATTCTGATTTTTTTGCGTATTTGAACACACAACACGTTTTCTCTTTAATTAACAAAGTAAGAAAAAGACTGAATTATCGAAATTAATTGCGTATTCTGTTCATTTCGCTAATTAAAACTGGAATAATTAGAAAGCGCCCCTTTCCACTTCTTACACTAATTTCAAGTACATATATTATAATACATTTGGCATATTTTTTAGAAAAAGGTTTCTTTTAGTTTTTAGGAAATAGAGGAGCCAATATCAATATTCGGATCGTTACATATGCATGATGGATGGATTCGGTTAATCTGAAAAACGGCAAGAGTACCGTCGACTTTGTAACTATGTTTTGTGAAGAAAGAAAATGCTTATCGATTAACAAGAGATAATGGCATTTGTAAATTTATACACCACCAATAATTAGATTAATTAAATGAATTTATTTGAGGTTTCTAATCTACTAATTCATCGTCAGAAATGTCGCCTACAATAAAAATTGAAAGATGAAGATATGGAAAAAGTATCGCCCCAGTCCCCTCCCCTGGCTACCGCACTGTGCCCGACACAGTCGTATTTGTCTAGACCAATGTATCAGACGTCCGACTGGTCCGGGCGTCAGTTTTTTTGAGCAGACGCTGTAATGGTTTGTACTAAGACTATGGAATTATTCATGACATATTCGTTTTCTTCGGACTAGTCTAGACGAGTACAGCGGACAAATAGTCATGACGGCCGTCATGACTAGTCGAAAAAAAAGACGATACGGTCATTTCCTAGATTTCTCCACCATTTGAAGCGCTTGCAGGCTCGAGTTGGTCGCACACTAACCAGAAAACTTGTGCGTATGTTTTAACAGAGTCAGATTTTCAAAGTTTTGTTTCATGTATTCTTGCCACAGGTTTTATCTTAAAATTCAGAAAAATCCTTTGCTAGTTATTGATGAATCTTTATTTCCTGTTAAACTAAGACAGAAATGATTTGCTTTGTTAAATCATAGTTATGGCTTTAAAGTAGTCGAAAAAGTAGTAGTTTATCGAAACTCCAAGATCATGTAACAACTATACAAAATAGTGTTCGGACGATTTCGAATGATACTAGAAGTGGTTTAAAATTCGGACAAAGTTTTTGATATTATTAGGTGATAAATTAGTTATGAAATTTCGACAACAATTGGATGCAATTCAGCAAAAATTAGACTAGCAACAGGTAGTTTTAGAACAATTGTCGTTAAGAGTTGAAGATCACCAGAGATATATCAGGCCGTCATATTTACGATTTGTCGGTTTTATTGGAGACACGACTGAACATCGAAATACTTGATTTTATATGTAATACATTAGGTGTTGAGACTAATGAAACTAATATTCAAAATCCGCATCGAGTAAGATAATATTAAGCTGGTAAAACAAGAGTAAATTATAGCTCGATTTTATTCACACCTAATTCG